TTCCACGTGTTTTTATGACAGGTCGAAAAAACGGAAAGAATTATAGGAACGACCTAATATTTTTGCTTTGCTGTAACAAATAAATGTAAATTTATGTGTTTATGTGCTCTCTAATTCTTTAAACTATTGATTGTTGGCAGCTTATATAAAGGCATTGCCCTGATTTTGCAACTTCGGTTTCCTTTTTTATACGTACAACACGGACAAATCGTTCTCAAGCTTTAAGATTACCTCAAATATAAAGGCAGTGTCCGGGCAAAATCTCAAGCAAAAATTTTTTCGCTTACCTGGCCTTATCCCTCCCGCTAATTCCGAAAATGCAGCTTGCAGTCTACGAAAATGTCGAAAACGGGCTACAGAAGCCCATGGTTTTAAATTCTAACGCTTGCCGCCGAGGCTAAGACGCAGAAGCTTGGTGGGACTCCTCCTCTTTACTGTGTGCGATATGCGCACTCTAGCTGATCAATTCGGTGGGCGGGGTCCTCCGAGAGGCGTAAGTCTTCCAACTTCCACAGCGCTTTTCTCGCTTTTGATTCCACGAAATGTGCCCGCGATTGGGTTGGGAAGTATGGCAGGGCGGCTACTTTTGCGCAGCAGTGAGATCCTGGAACCCCAACCTAGTTCGGACACTGGCTTTGAAGAAAAAGGAACGTAGCGATAGCCACGCTTTGGGAATTTTTTCTGCAGAGCACTTCGAATATTTGAAAGCAGAGAATTATTTTAATTACCTTCAAGTCAAAGGCTCTAACTAAGCCGATTTATAAGCGCCATGTCGAATGAGTTATCAGCCGAGAAATACAACTCTGCTCCTGCCCGGTACCGTTACCGATCGTTTTTTAGAGAGTACGATACTTGGCAAGAGTTTAGATTTAATCAAGAATAAATCACATGTGCTCCCGCTCTTGCAATGGCTTGAGAGGGACTTCTTAGTCTTCATATTAAAGTATTTAATTGCTTGGTAGAAACTTTATAGTTTTCTTTTTGTAAAAGGATATGTGCTTATGACCTCTCCAAGATTCTCGCTTTTCGACTCTTTGTTTCTTTGAACAACTCACTCTGTTCAGTTCAACAGCGTTCTGATTCCATGCTTCTTCATTAGAGAGTCCTTGATTCCTTAACGAAACCAGCCTTTCGTACGCCCGCATAATCTGCCTTCGTGCAGCCCATTCAAATGCCAAAATATGTTGCCAGTAACCTACAAGAACAGTTTTTTTTTAATTTGAGCAGTTACTTAGCTATTAAATGAACAAGCGACGAGACTACGCTAATGCTAAACGCTATTAAATGAAAACTCACTTCTTTCTGGTTGTTTATCAATAAGCGAGTGTTTCTCGTATGGTTTCACCAAATAGTCAGTCAAGGATGAAAGACCTTGTCCATTTTTCGCTGCTTGGGCTGCTTTCATGAGATACCTAAAAAAAGATGTGTCTTCTTTCGAAGAAAAATTAAAATAAAAAAATACTGTTAAAAACGAAGCACAAGGAATCAAAACATCGTACCTAGCTAATTGCTGAAGCATGACCATATTTTCACCCTCATAAGTGCAGCCACCAATTGCAACACCTAAAAAATTCAAAATAGTTCAGATTCTTTTTGACACTAAAATGCGAACTTTACTTTCTCAAAAAAACATTACACTGTAATAGGCTGGGTTCAGAGTATCCAGCGGGCCAACGCCGTGCCAGCGTCACATAAACGCGCCCTGTATTGACCACCGCTGTTCCGGCACGGCGGTGGCACGGCGTTGGTACGCGAAACTCTGAACGCAGCCTAGCAGTTGCTTGAGCATTTATCGCGTGATTATACTGGTTATAAATTACCGTAAATCTCCGAGAAATTTGTCGCCTTCGAGTACCCATGGCCTCCACAACTCATTCTCGATTGTTCAATGATCTCTCCAGCTAAGTGTGTCACGACTGCTTTCAAACCGGAAGTGACATAGTGGAGCTCAGCCATTTCGTCTACCTAAAAAAAAATAACACAGTGTGGTCTAGATTTGCGTGTCCTAGGAAGCCAAAAATCTGGAATGTCGTCTCTCAAAACCACAATTAGTTCTCACTTTTCCTTTGGCCATATCACTCTGTACACGCAAATAAATATTCTTTACTGCTTGTCCAGTAAAAAGAAAAGCGAAGGTACGGGCCAGTTGTGGAAGCAAGCGGTGCTGTTGTGTTTGGTAGTCCAAAATTTTCACTTCTCCTGCGCTAAAAATGCAAATTTCACGGTTTTGATCCAAAGTTCCAGATGAACTCACTTTGGCTTGATCTCTCCTTGACGTCGAATAGCCGAATAACGAATCGCTGTTGTCATTGCATAAGCAGAGAACATCGCTTGATGTCGGACCATGTGCGATCTAACATGGACCATAGCCGAATAGCTCATTTTAGCATGCGGGGGACGGGTATAGGTACCGTCTGGTGCTACCTGTATACGGTAGATCATGAGTAAACTCTATGAGAACGTTGGAAGGCACTCACTCTGCTGTGTTTCATCAGCATATTCATTCGAGGTATACGGTAATGATCCAGGCGCAAAAACCCATTATCTGAGCTGTCGTAAGCCATTTTAGGCCCAATGTCACCAACCGTTACTCCTGACAATACATCGTTTATGATTTTTCACTTTATTTTTTACGAGACCCTTCAAAAGTAGGGCTGATCCTTAGGTTATTCTTTGCACCAAAATGCTCTTTCAATTTTGATTCTTAGTTCAAACATTTCACTAAATATGTTTTGAGATGTGGAAATGATGCGCTCTTGAGTTTTTAGCACTATTTGAGGGACAACCTAATGAAACCTAGATATTTGTTCTGAACCCAAAAAGTTTTTCTATAGATAGTCGTGGTTAACGGTACGCCTTCAAATTATTCACAGAATGGGATGGCTTAGAGAACAATTTTATGGATTTATAAACAATCAAAAAAATTTTTCCTTTACCGCCACTTTCATAAACAAAATGATTCTGAAATAAAAATACCTTTTAGAGGTTTATGCGTTTCCAGATCTCGAATTTGTGCTATAAAACTATGAGGACCATAATTTTTCCCATCGATCATCAGAATGGCTACAACTATGGCGTAATTGGCACTTAGTCCTAAGTTGCCTGGCCACCTGAAAAAA